TGATTGCACTCCCCTCTTTAACAAGATTACTAGTCAATTTTAGTCTTGGCTAAAAAATCAGAAGCTGGCATATGCTGGAAGGCTTCAAGTCATAAAAAGTGTGGTTCTGGGAATTCAGCTGTACTGAACTTTAAATTACATATTACCATATAAGGTTCTCCAAAAAATTGATGACTTATGCAGGGATTTCCTATAGGGTAAAACTGATCAGCTTTTCAAATCTCCCCTAGTTGCTTGGGACAAAATTTGCAAGGAAAAGAAGTATGGTGGCTTGGGAATCTTTTCTGCAAAAATTTAGAACATGGCCGCAGCTCTAAAAATCATTTGGTATATACATGTTAACAAAGAATGGTTGTGGATTAAGTGGATTCATGGAAAATATCTGAAAAATACTACAATCTGGCAAGTGAACATGAAAGTTGGAGATTTTTGGATGTGGAAGCAATTGATCAAAGCCAGAGATAAAGCAGTTATTATTTGTGGAGGCATAGAAAATCTGAATAAATGCATTAGTTCATGTTGCAATAATTCAAAAATTCAGTTGTCAAACCTATATTCAGCCATATCTCCAGTTTCAAGCAAAGTAAACTGGTATTTGACAGTTTGGGATATCTTGAACTACCCTAAGCATAGCTTTATATTGTGGTTAGCTATTCTAAACAGGCTGTTAACCAGAGATAAGCTGCTTAGGAGAGGTGTAATTCAATCAGGCCAATGATGTTTATGTTCAGGCATTGCTCAGGAAACACACAATCATCTCTTCTTTTGTTGTCTCTTTTCAAATGGTGTGTGGAATAACATCATGGATTGGCTCCAATTTAGATGGAGGGCTTGTGATTGGGACATACTATTGGATTGGTATAACTGTAGATTGAAAGGGAAAGGCTTCAAACAAAGACTGAAAAGGATGGCTCTTGTGACTATAGTGTACAAAATATGGAGGGTGAGGAATGATAGAATTTTTAACTTGAAGATCAAGAGCATTGATCAGCTTATTGAGGAGATTAAGTTGGACATTATGATCATGGTCCTTAATAATTCATGCACAGAGGAAAATAAACAGTGGCTACTATCTCTTTAAAGATTGTTGTTGTTTCTTTTCTTCTGTATTAGTTTCAGTTCTGTCTGTTGTTTTTTTTTTTCAGTTCATTTCTGAACTGTATAACTTGATGTACTCACACTTCCAATTTGGTAAATGAATCAAAAAGCTCTTCATCGACCAAAAAAAACTTATCAGAACCCTAGGAACAAGAAACTTGCCAGCGTCCAAACAAAGCACCAGAACTTAATGAACTAAATTTTCTCACTACATATACATCATGAGAGCTAACACTAGTAGTTAGTACATAGTCTAATTTCAATACAGAAATAACTATAATTAAAAATAGGAGAGCTCATCAATAATGCATCCACAAGTATAATTACTATCCATCCACATATTTAATATATGTAAGTTCACAACTACTAAGTTCCCTAATTCTATTATTCATTAAAATTAAAATTCTAGGATTGTAGTAGTGACTTGAGTCAACAAAATACAAGTCATGCAAAACTTCAAAATTAATCAAATTTCAAATTGAAATGATAGTTGCAACATTGTTCATTGTTCTCACTCAAACGAACAAAACCCAAGCAAATAATCCAAAAACTCTCTACAATTCCAACTGCACAAAATAATCCCAAAACTCTCAACTCTCCCAACTGCACAAAATAATCCCAAACTCCCCGCAAGGAGGAGAACATCAGGACATTGCAATGGTTGTGGAAGAGACGAGGGCCCTTGGTCACTATACTTGAAATCGGTGGTGAGTCACTCGTGGCACAAATGTGGGGCAGAGTAGAGGGCGGGTGACGGTAGGTCGTCACACATTGCTCACTGCACAAATTCATCGCCATCTTCACAAAATTCATCATGTAATATCCAAATGCATCAAAGAAATGGCTAAATATTACAAAATTTCTCTCATTATGAACAATTCATCAAATTCACAAATTATCTTATAAAATTAAGGGTCACGTCGTCATCATTGTAGTAAAGGGTGGAGGTAGTAGTGGGAGGATTGACTGATGGAATTTGTAGAATACAACACTCTACACAAAGGAAACTTTTATTGATAGAACACTAGAGAATACATGATGGAATTTGTAGAATACAACACTCTACACAAAGGAAACTTTTATTGATAGAACACTAGAGAATACAACACTTGTTCTTACAACACAAAGGAAACTTTTATTGATAGAACACTAGAGAATACAACACTTGTTCTTACAAGAACACATCACTTTCACACAACTCCTTTATTTTGATGGACACTCACACAAGGCTACACTATACACTCAAGCTTTCAAGCTCACTTCTTGCTTACTTGCTTGCCTTCCCAAATGAGAGCTTAAGACCCCTATTTATAGTTGTTTAAGAGGGCTAGGAAGTGTGTGGAAGAATCAATATCCTAGTCATACATTATTACCACATTCTACACACTTCTCCTAAAATATCTTCTTTCTACATCCTTCTACAGTTTTCTCTTAAAAATATATTTCTTCCATATTTGTTGAGAAGCTTCTATTGCCTTGGGCTTAGATGAAATGGATTTAGGCTTTTATTTGCCTTGGGCTGAAAATAGATTAGGCTTTGAAATGGGCTGGTGTTGATCTTCAACACTCCCCCTCAACACCAGCTTTCATTTCTCACAAATCCAAGCTTCTTTTTAAGCTTCAAAAATGTTTCTATCTTTAGTGGCTTGGTGAAGATGTCAACAATTTGGTCTTCAGACTTGCAATATGTTAGCATCACAATCTTCTTTTTAACTTGATGTCGGATGAAATGATATCTTTGTTGTCCTCTTTGTTTTGATGATGTTTAACAAATAATTTACCACTAATGTTGTTTGTCTAGTATTCGTGTTTTCTTATTTATTGTAGATAAACAATATGTTTGAGGTTGGATGGATTGCGCTTCAACGATCAAATCCAATAGAGGTTGGCGGAATTGTAGAGTGAAGCCATACAATTCAAGTTTAAGATCCAAGTTCAAGCTTCATCCGCAAGTGTACCAAGTCAAGATTATTGAAGATCAAGATTACTTGGGTAACATTTAGTTTAGGTATTATATTATGTGTGTTAGTACTTTAAGCTCAATCATATACACACATACACGTTTTGGTTTTGTATATATATATAGTTATATATATGCATATATGTTTTGGCTTTTTTGTTTATCCACAAACAAAGTTTTTACTAGCATATAAATAAATATTTATATTCAAACATGTTTGTTTTTACGTGGATAAATTAGTTTTGTTTAATTTCATAGATATGAAACAAATATATATTCATATTCATACTCATATGTTTCATATTCTATTGTATTTGTGAAAATACTATATTCATTATTTATAGACTTCATAACAATAGTTTACATCTTTCTTCAAGTCTATAAAATCATTTTGTAATGTTTCAAAACATGGTTAAGCTAAAATGTTAAAACTCATGTGTTTACATTTTCATGTTTTGGACTATTTTGCAAAATGATGATATTTTTCATTTGGGAGGTCTTTTTTGAAAACCAGTCTTTGTAGTATGTTTATTATCATGTCTACAATCATTTCTCAAAGTTTTATATTTTTTAGAATTTATTTGATATTTTTAAATAGGGTTTCAAAATCAAAAAATAGTTTTCAAACCTGTATTTTCATGTATCAGTTCGCGATCGACCGCCACGATCGACCGCGCGTATGTTTTTCCCTCAGGAGCCAGTAAAAACTTTCACGGTCGATCGTGACGGTCGACCGTTAGTCCTTAAGTTTCCACAGTCGATCGCCACGGTCGACCTTAGCTTTCTCTGGAAGTTTTCTTAGGTTTAAATATGCCTCGCGGTCGACCGCGAGAATTTCACGGTCGACCGCTGAAGTATCCGTTGGCTTCCAACGGCTATTTTCTGTAGCTGTTTTCTATGGGTTTTTGGTCTTGTGTTTGGGGATTTGGTTGTTGGTTTCTCTTCCTATATAAACCCTCAAACCCCCTTCTACCAGCTACAACTAGAGAGAGTTTTAAACAAGTTTTAAAAGAGATTAAAAGTTTGTTTAGTTTATTTTAAGTTTGAGGTTTTTGTTTACAAAGGAGGAAGCTTATATTACAAATTGAGTGATTCATCCTCAATCTTCTTCATCCTCTCCTTTGTGTTTATAGAGAAGTTTTTCTAACTCTTTTCTCTATTAATTTTATTATTGATTTTTATATTCTTATTATTGCTAGTTTGCTAATTGAGTTAGATTTTATTTATACTCTTTGTTTACACACACAACCATTGAGCTTATTGTATTTGCATACACTGTATAATTGGGTTGTGAGGAGTTGTAACAATTGAGTGTGAGCTTTCATTATAATCTCATCCATATTAGAGAACAACCATTGTTGTATTTGTTACATTGTGAGTGATTATGAACGTTAATCGGTGAGCGTTGAAAACCGACATTGTGAGGTGTAAACGTTATTCAGGTGAGTGTAGAAAACCCGGTTATGATAGTGTATTTCTCCCCGGGAGTGAGGAGCGGAGACGTAGGACGGAAGGTCCGAACTCCGTGATCATATTATGTGTTTGTATTGTTTATATTGCCCTATCACAATTGCATCATTAGTTTAGATTGTTTACCCTTGTATTGTTTATATATCATTGTATTTATTTCACCATATAGGATATATCTCTTTGTTCATATTGTTTATCCTAGCTCATATATCTTGTTGTATTTCATACTTGCTAGGATAATCTGTCAATAGTTTTAGTTAGCATAAAATCGGATTAGATTAGCATAAGACCTTAATCGATTGTTTACCCTTGTATTGTTTATATATCATTGTATTTATTTCACCATATAGGATATATCTCTTTGTTCATATTGTTTATCCTAGCTCATATATCTTGTTGTATTTCATACTTGCTAGGATAATCTGTCAATAGTTTTAGTTAGCATAAAATCGGATTAGATTAGCATAAGACCTTAATCACCCCCCCCCTGTTGTTTGCCCTTCATACAGCCTTCACATAGCTGGTTCGGATGGTTGATTTGCGGCAATCCTTTTACCATTTTCTCCTTCCATAGAAGATTCAGGCCACTGAAAGCGAGATGCCCGAATCGTAGATGCCAGAGCCAAGTCTCGTCTTTTATGATTGACTTCAAGCACTTGACAGGGTCAGCATGAATATTTAAGGTAAACAGTCTATTTCTAGACATGTTCACCTTTGCAATAACTTCATTTTTATTTTTAATAGTGAGGGCAAGGTCTTTTAGATGTATATCATAGCCTCTTTCAAGGAGCTGGCCTAGGCTCAAAATATTATTTCGTAATGCTGGAACATAGTAGACATCAGAGATGTACCTGTTCTCGCCCGTCTTTGTCTGGATCATTATATTTCCCTTGCCTTTTACTGGAATCTTTGACTGATCTCCAAAAGTGACATCTCCTTGTACCATCTCGTTCAGCTCGGTAAAGAACTCCTTGATGCCGCACATGTGGTTACTGGCACCTGAATCTAGATACCAGATATCTTTATTCTTGCTTTCGCTCTCCTGGTACGTCAACAGGACTGTTGAAGTGTCTGCCTGCTCCCTTTCTACAAAGTTGCTTCTTTCTGCCACTTGATTTGATTTCTCCCAACATTCGTAGCTGAGATGACCGTATCTCTTACATTTGTAACACTGTGGCTGAGATCTGTCCTCATGGTAACTTCTTCCTTGTCCTCGTCCTCGTGTGCCACGACCTCGTCCTCGATCGAATGATCGTTCACGATCTCTATTTCGATCTTGATTTTCATGGCCTCCTTGGTACTGTCTCCTACGACCTTGCTGGAAGTTTGAGCCACCTCGAAATGAGCCTCTGCCTCTGTAGCCTCCACGTCCTCTTCGACTATCTTCTTTGATAGTCATCTTACTCTGCAAGGCTTGTTCTAGATTCTCCGCTTGATTTGAACTAATGTTTATATCTTGTTCATAAGCTTGCAGAGAACCTTGCAGCTCATCAATAGATACTTCGGAAAGATCTTTAGACTCTTGTATTGCCGGAATAATATATTTGAATTTAGAGTCTAAAGTCCTAAGTATCTTCTCCATAATTCTTACATCATTAATTGCTTCTCCATTTCTCTTCATTTGATTTGTTATTGTCTGAACTCTACTAAAATAATCCGATATTGATTCTGTAGCTTTCATCTTCAAATTTTCAAATTCAACTCTTAATGCTTGGAGGCGTACCTTTTTGGCTCTTTCCGCACCTTGATAGGATTTTTGTAAAATCTCCCATGCTTCTTTAGAGGACAGGGCATTGGAAATCTTCTCAAACGCAGATTCATCTACGCCTTGGAATATTAGGAACAAAGCTTTTTTGTCTCTTTTTCTGACCTCCTTCAGCTCACTCTTCTGTGTGGCGGTGAGAGTTGCTTCTGCTGCAAGTGACTCTGGTTCAGTGTAGCCATTCTCCACGAGCTCCCACAAGTCTTGCGAGCCGAGCAAGACTTTCATCTGGATACTCCAGTTGTCGTAATTGGTCTTCATCAGCTTCGGAATCTGTGGCTGGATCATGTTCGCCATCTCGTACACGAGCACCTTCGATTGGCCCGGCTAGATCGAACTTTGCTCTGATACCACTTTGATGGAATTTGAAGAATACAACCCTCTACACAAAGGAAACTTTTATTGATAGAACACTTGAGAATACAACACTTGTTCTTACAAGAACACCTCACTTTCACACAATTCCTTTATTTTGGTGGACACTCACACAAGGCTACACTACACACTCAAGCTCTCAAGCTCACTTCTTGCTTGCTTGCTTGCTTTCCCAAATGAGAGCACAAGACCCCTATTTATAGTTGTTTAAGAGGGCTAGGAAGTGTGTAGAAGAGTTAATCCTAGCCATACATTACTAAGAAGTTTCTAGAAGAATAAATACTAGCCATACACTTGTATCTTCCTAGAAACTTCATGGTAGATATTTTGTAGGATGTTACTAGAAAGAAGTTCTAGAAAGTTGTTCTAGAATAATCTAAGTTGGTGAGGAATTCTAATACTCCCCCTCATCACCAACTTTCATTTCTCTCAAGTCCAAGCTTCTTCTTAAGCTTCAAAAATGTCTCTGTCTTTAGTGGCTTGGTGAAGATGTCAGCGATTTGGTCTTCAGACTTGCAATATGACAGCATCACAGTCTTCTTTTTAACTTGATGTCGGATGAAATGATATCTTGTCTCTATGTGTTTGCTTCGTCCATGTGCTACCGGATTTTTGGCAAGTGCAATAGCTGACTTGTTGTCGATGAGAATCTCTGTCGGTGCTTCTTGTTGGTATAACAATCTTGTCTCTATGTGTTTGCTTCGTCCATGTACTACCGGATTTTTGGCAAGTGCAATAGCTGACTTGTTGTCGATGAGAATCCCTGTTGGTGCTTCTTGTTGGTGTTGCAATTTCTTCATCAGACTCCTGAGACATATTGCTTGACACGCACATATCGATGCTGCTATGTATTCTGCTTCGCAACTTGATAGAGCGACGACAGATTGCTTCTTTGATGACCGTGAGAATGTTGCCGATCCGATATTGAACATGTAGCCAGATGTGCTCTTTCTTTCATCTAAATCTCCACCATAATTGCTGTCGGTATAGCCGACTAATCTTGAATCTGCACACTGTGTATAAAATAATCCTTGATCAATACTTGCTCGGACATACCTGAGAATTCTCTTGGCTGCCTTGAAATGCTCTTGCCTTGGCTCCTCTATGTATCTGCTCACCAGTCCTACCGCGAACACTATGTCGGGCCTAGTGATGGTTAGGTAGCGCAAGCTCCCGACTAAGCTCTTGTATAGAGTTGGATCAATAAAGCTTCCCGGTGATTCTCGTCTCAGCTTCACTCCGACTTCTGCAGGAGTTGTGACTGGATTGCAGTTGCTCATGTTGAACTTTTGGAGGATCTCCTTCGCATATTTCTTCTGAGAGATGAAGATTCCTTTCTCTGATTGCGACACTTCTACTCCAAGAAAGTATGATATTTCTCCAATGTCAGTCATCTCGAACTCCTTGATCATATTCTTCTTGAACTCCTCGAATATTTTTGGATTGTTGCCGATGAAGATCATGTCATCCACGTAGAGACATACGATCATAATGTCTCCATCCTTCTTCTTGGTATAGAGAGAGTGCTCATACGGACTCTGCTGAAATCCGTTCTTCTGGAAGTATGCATCGATTCTGGCATTCCATGCTCTGGGTGCTTGCTTCAATCCATACAATGCCTTCTTCAGCTTGTAGACCTTGTCTTCTTGATTCTTCATCACGTACCTAGGTTGTTGCTCGATGTAGACTTCTTCTTCTAGATAGCCATTAAGAAAGGCTGACTTCACATCCATCTGATAGATCTTCCACCGGTTCTGTGCTGCCAATGCGATAATGAGTCGAATGGTGTCGATCCTCGTGACTGGTGCGAATACTTCTTCATAGTCAACTCCTTCTCGCTGACTATAGCCCTTTGCAACAAGCCTGGTGTTTGGTGGAAAAGTTGTAATAAGAAAAAGATGAAAGAATTTGATTTGATTTTTATTCTCTCTAACTGCTTAGAAAAAGAATGATTACAATTCTCTCAATCTCAATTATAATTTGGATTTTTTGATTACAAAAGAGAAGAGAATTGATCTGAATTCTCCCCTTTGTTTAATTCTGGGTTCTTCACGGTGGCGATGGAGTGCCTCCTTCGAATGCTCGTATCGAATTCACTCTTCGTTGACGATCCGAACATCTCAATTCACTAGAACAATTAACTTGTGTGTCAAGTTTGAAAAAGAACTCTTAACGAGTTTAAGAACTCATAACGAGTTGAAACTCTGTCAAACAGAGTTGTTTGAACTAAAAATTCGGTTAATAGCCAAATAAATTTTCTGTTGCTGAAGGATGCTCCAAGATTTGATCTTCTTGTTGCAATGGATTTGATCTCTTGAGGATGATTGTCCCTAGATCTCCAAGAAGAAATAGCCAATCCGAACTCCAAGAATCTAAACTAAAAAATCTCACCCAAAAAAAAATCTAACCCCTTACTTTGTTGAGTTTGTTGGGGTTTTATAGAAGGATAAGGGGTGTAACTAACCCCTTAATCCGCTCCAACGTGGGGCGAGAATCCCTCAAAACGTGGGATAAACAGTTCTGAAGCCGTTTAGCTTGTGTTTGAACAAGTCAAATGCCCAAGTCGGCGTTCGGGACCCTAACTCTGTGTCTTAGAATTGAGATGTAGAGTTGGGTGCCTACTGTGTTTCGTTTGCTGGCGCGAGGGTCGTCTGCGTTACAAGACCTAAAACGCAAATGTGAGTTTTGCATTCAGAAGGGGCTAGTGACTTGTAATCTCTTCTGTAAAGTGTTGTAAAGATCATTGTTCAGTAATCTTCATGTTAGCCGTCTTGAGGTGTGAAAGTCGTCAAATTATAACTCTCACAGTTAATGGTAGAGACCACTGAATAGAGTTTTCATCAGTTGTCGGAAGGGTCATTGAATTGTAACTCCTCTCGATCTATGTGAAAAGTCCTCCACTTGTAGCTTTCATGAAAGTCGTTTGATTGTAACTTTTGTTATCGAAATATTGATTGGGATTTGATAGGGACCAGCTATCTGTTGTGATTTTTAGACTGCCTATAGATCCCTCCAAAGTTTTTGAAAGTTCGCGGTTGACTAGAATGAATTTTTGGAATACTTTGAATCCCGAGATTTTGTTGATTGATTGTTTACTCTGTTTGATTTAAAGACATCATGGACTTGGTTGTTGGAACGTAGTGATTCAGCTTCCTCAAACTAAACAAGATAACTTTTGCGTCTTGATGACAATGAACTTAGTTAAATAAGCTAAAGCCCATCGTTATTGAACCAAACAAGAATGATGATCATAATGAATTTGTCTGGATTTTTGAGATACTCCACTCAATTTGCGTAGAGGTGTATTCTTCGAATTTTGTCTGGATCCTTGAGATACTCCACTCAACTTGCGAAGAGGTGTATTCTTCGAATTTTGTCTGGATCATTGAGATACTCCACTCAACTTGTGAAGAGGTGTATTCAGTGTCCAGAAAATTCTTCTAGGCATTAATGAACACTCGACGTGCAACCACGGGCGTTAAATAATAATGAGAGAGCCAATGATAGTGAAACTATCATAGAAACACCAACTGCAAACTTGTTAACAAGGTATTTTTCAGTGAGGTTGAGCACTTTTTAGCTTTATTAATCTTTGTTGGAATGTTAAGCCATTTAGAAGAATGAGTTGCGCGATGGATCGAGCTCGATGATTTCAACATCATTGACTGTAATCTATATGTACTCATCCAAGAGGCTGCATAGTTGCTTGTTATAAGCCAGTTTCTTCTCAGCTTTGGTCACCTTGATGGCCAATGTTAGCTTCTCTTTATTTATTTGAAGCTATACTATAGCCCTAGTCGTCGAGATGTTCATTCTGTAGCGTTTAAAATGTATGAGTGAACTCTGAGGTTGAGAATTGAAACGCAGAGGTGAACTCTGCATTCGGAAGTTCAACCAACTCGAACGCAACGATCGCGTTTGGGTAAGATTCTAGCCTAGAATCTCGTCCCGATTTGACAGCTCACATCTGTCTATAAATAGACCGCTAGGGTCAAATCAAGAGTCATTCGACTCTTTCTTTCTTCCTAGAATCTTCCAACAAATAATTTTGTTCTTATTTTCGGTGAATACTGTTCATCTTCCTCATCAAGCGACATCAATGGTGCTTAAGAAGAAGACCGTCTCCCGACCCACCAAACCTGTTGTCGTCGCAGCTCAGAGCTTGCTGCCGTCTTCGCCGGCCGACGGTGTCGTAACTCAGGCAAGTATGCCGCCACCTCAGTTTCCTTTAGTTGGTGGTAAGTGTGACCTTCGTGGTCGTAAAACTTGCTACGGTGAGTTCTAAACTTTGAATCAACAAGGAGACTCATTTCAATAACATAACGTAGGGTTGAGACTCTCGTTTGAAATTTGAAGCGTGGGGGTTTCGACCTCTACGCTCAAAATTTTACCAACGTAGTGTTCGATCTCTGCATTTGATTTCATCGACGTAGTGTTCGATCTCAGCATTTGATTTTGTTAACGCAGGGTTCGATCTCTGCGTCTGGTTTTGCTAACGCAGGGTTCGATCTTTGCGTCTGATTTTGCCGATGCAGGGTCCGATCCCGGCCTCTGTTTTGCCTTTATACTGACTAATTATTTTCTTTGTTTGCAGTGTGTCACACCAATGAGCCTCTCCCTTTCCGCCATCATTTTGGTCATGAAGGTGGCATAGATCAAAATATGACATTCAAACTACGCCAAGAGCTCTCTGTTTTCCGTATCACTGACAAAGACTGTGTTGAAGCGATCATTCAGGCTTCTTCTGAAATTCTGCGGACATTGGTCATGCATGCCAAATTTGAAAGTTTAAGCCGCAAACCGTTTGTCAAACCAGCATTCTTCTTTGGGGACTTCATTGACTTTGAAACAGATGTTGCTTATGAAGGGATTACAAGTGGCTGAGGAAAGTTAGGGACAGTCACCTCTTCTTTAGAAAGGATGTACCCGATATCATATTTCCAATGTGCTTCTATTCCAAGGCGTATGGATTGGGACCTTGTCAAGGAATAAGATGGAGTTGCCCTTGGAACCTTAACTTTCTAGGGGGTTCGCACAGTGGGTTATAATAGACAAGTGATAGCCTTACGACCAGGCTTGTTCGTCAAAGAATACGTAGTTGGTGAAGTGGCCAGTCACGCGAATACTTTTGTTAAGAGATTTATGACGAAGAAAAGAAAATTTTTCGCACAAGTATTCAGACCTCCTGGCTGGGTTCACTCTTCGATGACAGGGTGGTAGACCCGAATGACCAATTTTATTTTGGAGGAGTTGGAGACACCCCTAACCCAAACTGACCTGAAGATTCCTGTGAGGGCTACTAAATACGAGATCATTCAGAGCCACTATCACTTTTTCTCTATCTTGGAGCGATACAACCCTAAGACTTGCACCTTTTTTACTCCAGTAGGGGAATTGAGTTTTTCTCTTCACAAGATGCATAACATCTCAAGTCTCTCTTTTAGGGATTTACCATATGAAGAATTTATTCTGGGATCAACAGAACTTAAAATTTTAAGAAAAACCAGCCCCGAAGTTTACTCTACCTCTGGGAAGTTATATGTCACTTCCACATCTGTATGCAGTAGACGGGGGCTCGAGGAAGTGGTGTAAAACAAGTATCTTGGTCAGAGTACTTGTTCCAGAATCTGACCAATAAGGGAGCTTCAGTGACCAGATTACCTGTGAGTACTTTGGAGGAGATTCAAACCCGAATCGATGTTGCTACCTCCCATTACACAAATAAAGCCAAAGAGGACATTTTCCTGCTTACACAGAGTTAGAGAGTTTCCACTATCAAGTTCAGATCCCTATTTCAGATATGGCACTGTTGGTGGGATTTCTGATGTTGTGGCTAAAGCGATGCGTCATCCCCACCAGGCCAATTGATGCTCTTGTTGCTGAGGTGATTTACCCAGCCGTTCTTTTGGTGCATGGGAGGCCACTGAACCGTCTTTCCACCATGGTGTGTTGTATGAAGAACGGGTTACATGAGCTAGCCCTAGATTTTGTTAATGTTACAGAAGTGGAGTCTGGTGAGAGCAAGACTTTTAAAACTCCAAATCCCTGAGTACCACTGCCTTATACTTATTTGATAGCTTGGTACGTGTCTCATTGTCCCTCACTAATGAGTGCAGCCTCTCCTCAAGGCAACTCATTTACTCCTCTTATGCAACGATTGGAGTCAGCAAAGTGGGCGGGGACTTACATGGTTAGAATCCGTCAGATTCTGTCAAGGGATACTAACTATCACATCTTCTGTTGCTTCCTTGATTTTGAAGGTGGGGTATACGGAGTAACGTTCTAGGATGTGGTAGGTCCTAACGGATTCACTTAGCTAAATAGGGGTGTTTTCCGTTGGCTGCTCTACATCAGACCAGGTTATTTGATTTTTTGACAAGACGGGAAGTGTTTCATCGAACCCTATCAACCATATAGATTTGCTCGTCAATTTGGATATGACCAGCTATATGTTGGGAATGCTCATCCTTAACTTGCGATTGTGGGCAATCTATATGAAGGGGGTAGATCCGGGTACTATTCGGTGGCTGGTTGCACCAAGGCCGTCTTCAAGCTCCCCCACAAAACACATAACTCTTACACTTCCATGGGTTTTTGTAACTGGTATTCTGCTGCTTCTCAGGTCTCTTGATACAATATGAATACCTCTTGTCTAAAGAAAATCAGACGTATGTATGCTTCCCGAAAGGGATCCAAGACGTCTCGTCTGAGAGGAATTGACGAGTATTTATCC